AATTTGTTTTAAATAGTTGAAAGTGGCAAACACACGAACGAGCTGTGTCACATCTTTCAACCTACGGGGTAGGCAGAGGAGAATAACTGCCGTTTCGTCGAGCGCAAAAAGCAAGTGATTTTCAAATCCACAAACATCGCGCACGCCACTAACGCCCGGTTTCTGAAACACTGATCATCGTAGATACTAACTAATCAGCTGAAAAATGGCTGTTCAAATGTCATTTTAGTTGCCAAAAGAATGGTTAAACACTTTGAATTTATCATTCTGAACATTAAGAAGATCACTTGGTCAATTCAGAGAGTTTAACCATCCCTTTGACAACTAAAATGAAATTTGAAAAGCCATTTGACGGTTGATTAGTTAATATCTACGATGATCAGGGTTTCAGAAACCGGGCGTTAGTTCCGAACCTGCGATCGCAATTTAACGTCCCAAGACCACAGACCACATACCCTGTAAATAAAGACCGACACCAAAAATAAGCGGGTCCCGCGAGTCTCGTAGAAAGCGACTCTGCTAGCGGCGATGACGTCACAGCTAGAGGGCGGCTCTTATCACCTCTTATCAAAACGATAACTTCTTTAACGACGCGATAGTAGACAAGTGTTTCAAAGATTACAAAACCCTTAGGTACACGACAGACAAGCCGAAACAAACTCTAACGTGTCAGAAACACGACACAATATTCTATGCATGACAGCGTCGGGCTGTTTGCTAAACCACTTCCAAATATCATATTGTTTTGTTACACAAACAGGGACAAGATAGCGGCTGAGCCGTTCGAAGCGGTTGTTAATAAATTGCAATGCGAATGATTTATGAAATCCGTTGTTAAGGTTTTCATGTGGGCAGGTAATTGATACGGCATCTATTTGGTTTAACGGACTGGTGATACGTTATTTAATGCGATATAACAAAACATAGGCTGTAACTCGATAGCCGCAGTGGAAGCTATTATTTAAAGCGAATTCTGATGAAATACGATCACATTGCAGATTCGTATGTGTACATGTATACAGACCGTACACAGGTACTCCAATCCAATATTCATTTCAATATTATACCGTCAAAAAGTCACCGTTAGAAATTTAATGATAAATTAGGTGATCCGGCAAACGTTTTGCCATAATTTTTCCGAAAAATAAAAAAAGTTTTAGGCGAGCCGCCCTTAACATTTAGGGGTATAAAAATTAGTCGTCGTTATAAACCTATTCTCATAACTACTGAAATAAAGAATAAAATTTCATCAAAATCGATCAAGCCGTTTGGAAGAGTATAAACACTAAAACTGTGACACAAGAATTTTATATATTAGATAAAATAAAAGTTTACTTTAGGTTAGAGGAAGGAAAAATTATAAATGAAGTATATTACCAACTAATATACAGAATAAACGAAGGTCCTTCATTTCGCTCTGTCCTCTTTTTTGCCCGCGTATAAATCCCTCCATGCGTAGGACACGATATTAAAATCATCCATTGTCGTCGTTATTAATGAGAGAGGAATAAAGCGAGATTATGTGTCACTTCGCTAGGATTCGAGCCCAGTTAACTAGATGCCTGTCATTTTCGCTACGTTCGCACAGTTTTTTTTATACCGCGAGCAGATATCGCTATTGGAACGGCCAGTGTGAACAAAGCGGATGCTGCCAATTCAGAGAATTGCCGGAAACGATGCCGGGGATCAATTAACCCAGGTCGAATTCGCTGAGCATCCAAATAACCGTCAGCGTGACATTCGGTTGAACTCCCGTCACGCCGAATTTCGCTGACCTCCGGACCTATTTCATCTCGTGGAGTTCTAATTTGCGGGTCGAAAGTTTGACCCTCGAGGACGGCACTTAATTGACCTTGGTTAATATATTTTTAATGTAGAACTTCCCATTAGAACTATTTCAATGCTAGCCAACACAGCCTTTTGCATCTTTCAAACCGAGAATGAAAAACACAGAACAGTTAAAATCGCAATTAAGGCACTTAATTGACATACGTTTCCCTACTACGAATGTTCCACCAATTTTTTAGACATGAGGCGAAATTAACGTGGATCACGGGTGGATAACGAAATAAACACGCCGGTGAAGTTTCAAAACTGTCAAGAGATGCGATCGCGGTGCATGATTTTGTTCGTGTCGGCTCTTTGACGGGGTCATTGAAGGAAGGAGGAAGGAGATGCTCCACGCTGTTGATCCGTCAGTGCGTAATAATAATAGTTGAGACCGAGCACATAGACAGTAAACCTTACCGCGGCTCCAGTGACCGATGAAATTTTACACGGCCCTCGAGAGCTAAAGCGAAAAACGTCATCGCAAAAAAAAACAATACAAAACACAAGAGACGTTACCGACGCTGTGCCCAAGACCAACTGGGTCGAAACTTCCGGTGCGCGTTGACAGGTCGATCTTTTCTACGACTTTCAGAAATTAACAGAAGAACGCAGGAGGAGACGGGTCTTGTGAATGCTTCAAATAAAACGCGCTTGGAAGCGCGTTTTATTTGAAGCATTAAGCGAGGGGAACAAATTCAGAGAAAAGAGTGCGAGTGCAGTCTTTGGTGTTCACAGTTAAACCGCAACTCGTCGTCTTACTGGTGGAACCAGGTTGGAATTAAGCAATGATAGGAAGAACAATCACATACACCTTATATTTCTTTTTATGTGGTAAGTTGCCAAGCGATCACGGTTTACCTGATGTTAAGTGAATACCGCCGCCCATAGACATTTGCTACACCCGAGGGTTGCAGAAGCGTTGACAGCCATTTGTTTGAAAATTGGGCTCGGCTTTGCTTAAAATTTTATGGAAATGAATCACACATACATATACCGTGCACTCGGTTCCGCTCGACTTATTTACTTATCGTTACTGATGAAGAAATATTCAGACTTTCCAGATAACGAACTCTAAACGATCGTAAAAAAGGATCGTTTAAATCAGACTAATGCTTTCAAGAGTTCAGAACAAAAAGCACAGAAACACATATAGATAAACGTGTTTAGAAATATCGTGAGTGAGGTTGCCAAAAGTTTAAGATCAACGCTAGCAGCAAAACTGTTACCATTACCATTCATTTGGGTGATAATCATGTAAGGAGCACTCTAGTAATGTTATATGAACTATTTATTAAATACTACGCATTATTCGGTTACTAATGGACGAGTTTCAAAGGAATCTCAACATAACAACATTTGAAAATAAGGCTCAAATCAGACATATCAACGCGATGCACCTGCATAAAGGGGAATGCACAATGAAACTATTCAAAACAAACGGCCTTATCCACAGTCGATGACGGTGGACAATGAGTAAAAAAAAGCAGGTAGGAAGTCCATTCTCCTCACAAATCCATTTGCATTTTTATACGTTTACACTGCGTCTGATCTTGCAAAGGGAAAACAAAATAAGCAAAAATCGATTCGGTTTTGTGCTTTTGAGATTAAATCCCCCTCGTAACAACAACCTCTTTCAATCGTAGTAAGCACATATCTCTAACTAGTCTCATTGGGATCTCATAGCTGTATTCATATATGTCAGCTTTAAATATTACAGTAATGATTAAATCCTCATCGTAACAACAACCTCTTCCAATCTTAGTAATCACAGATCTTGAACTCTGTAATGTATTAGTATTCTCATAGTCATCATGAAATATACTCTTTAGTGCCAGTATTAATTACTAAAGTGAAGATAAAAGTCTTCTCATAACAACAACCTCTCCCAATTGTTGGTAATAACCACAGACCTCAAACTCTGTAATCTTTAGGTGATTTCACTGTCGTATTGAAACATACTTTTTTGTGCCAGTTTTAAATACTAAAATGAAGATAAAAATCTTCTCATAACAACAACCTCTCCCAATCGTTGGTAATAACCACAGACCTCAAACTCTGTAATCTTTTAGTGATTTCACTGTCGTATTGAAACATACTTTTTTTTGTGCCAGTTTTAAATACTAAAGTAAAGATTAAAGCCTACCATAAACAGCCTCTCCCAATCGTGATAACCACAGACATAAAACTCTAATTCTTTTAGTGGTCTCCGAGTTGTATTCTTATTTGTGCCAGTTTTAAATACTAAAGGGAAGATTGTGGCACCATTACATGTGGGTCCATCGTGATAACCCTGAAGAGACGAAGGCGCGTCTCGTTCTGCTTTTGTTTTCAACGTCTCTCGTCGTTGGAAACAAAAGCAGAACGAGGCACCTGACGATTCGCGAGGGGGACTTAATTGCCGACATTACGAGTTATTGCCGGTTCGTTTGGCTTACGCAATTGCCAGTACAACCACAATGGACAACCTTCGGCGAGGAACAAACGCGGGGCTGACTTGTTTTATATCAGGCGCATTCTTAAAAATCATTACCTTTTATATCACTATGCATGTGGCTTTTCAGATTGATATATCGCTGACGCGCGCTCGAAGAAATTTTAAGAATTTTATCTCTTTGAATAATCGTTAAGTTTGCAGGTAGCTAAGAGAGCAAGACGCAAATTAAATTACTTAGTTGTTAAGGATATTTTTAAATACAACTCTTTTAAACATAAACGATATGATTCGTAAACTACTACGAATAATATCGATAGTGCGTAAAATATTGATCTCGATCAATTAAACACAAAATACTTACTCAAAAAATTAACTAAAAAAAATCTATTAAAGGTTAGATACTAGTATATGGTTATGGTTAATGTTTAAGATGATTAGTCTCTCGTTTAACGTAGTTTGAAGTGTTTTTGTAACGTAGCTCGATTCTTCTTTTTCAGTACGTACTTCCGTCGACTCGACAACATAAACAGCTAAAGTAATGTAATTACTTAACAAGCCACTTTTAATTTAATATCGTACACAGTTTTTAGGCCTTCTATCTATATATCTATATTTATATTAAGAAAGCGTATAACATGTTTTGAAAGTGTTGACTAATAGTGTGTCAAAGTGTCGAATAATAGTCATGTAATGATTAATCGAAAATCATAAGTATATTGATAACCTTCCACATCGAATGAAAACAAATATCCGTCACAATAAGCTATATCAACAAACTCCAAGTACATCGACGAGCTCGACCACCAGCACCCTACAGCAGCAGCACCGCAGCGCGCAACGGACGCCGGCCGTGGGTTCGATCGCGCGATCGGAGCTGTCGCAACGCCGGATATCAAGGTCCAATTGCTGCCGCCGCCGTTTCACTCGAAACAACCAACCAACCCCCCCCCCCCCCTTCGCTCCCTCCTCTCTCCCCCCCTACCCGACCAACTCAACCCGACGACCGCACCGCGGATCCATCGAGCGTGAACATAAAGAAACTCCCGTCCATCCATTGTTCCATGGCGCTCGTAAATACGAGCGAACGAAACAGAAACAAAACACTGTGAGTGCGCGCGCGAGTTGAAAATGTTCAGGCGCGTGAGAAAGAGCCATTTTATTATCCGTGCACTGGCACCGAACGAACGACACAATGAGAGAAAAAAATCGGCACATCGAATTCGAAATTCGAACCCCGGACCTTCCAATCGCGGCTGTGCAGCGAAGGCGATTCCTAGAAACGCACGCCTCGCATTGGGTGACTCAAAACGCCAAGGCTAGCGATAGGCGTTCCGCGATCGAACAATTTCCACTGCAGCTAAATCAACAAACACACACACACGAAAAAAAAAATAGGTTACATAAAGATAGCGATGCAGATAACGGACAGCTCTGCTCAGTGGCGGAGGCCGCCGGCGCGAGTTTCACCCGATCAAGGTAAGTGACCTTTGCCGTCGTCGTCGCGTTTAAATCTCAGCCGAGAGATCACTGTTACGCACAAGCCAGCCACCGCTGTCGGATCCGCGACTCGTTAGCGGAATCGGTGCGCAGAAGCCTCCCGAGGTTCGGGCGATCGGAGCGAACAGAAATCCCTTCGTCGGACGACGCACACTGCACTAGCACTTCCGCGTCGTTGTCGACGTCACTGCACTGCACATTCTCTGTCGGCTTTTTAGTAAATATCTGAGCGGTACGAGCGCACGCATGACCGCTCCGTGCGGCGTCCGAGAGGCGACTGAGGCAGTGGCGCTGCGCTCGCGCCGCCCCTCGCCCGTTTATCAGCCTTCGCGGGTAGACGGGGGGAGGGGAACTGTTAAGGGGCAGGGGGGAGACGGTGCGGCCAGAAAGAAAAGTCCACATCGCGTGTGACACAGAGATAAGTGTACGAAAACCGCTTCTTCAACTTTCAACGCATTGTGACTTTGAAAAGAGCACCGTTTATTATTTGCGAATCAAGAGTTATACAAATGTCATTAATGAAACTACCTAATATTGAGGATGACTAAGTGATCAACCTAGTAATACACCGTGTAACAAATTGCAATACGAAAAAACTATCTAGATTTAGCAGTGCACTTGCTTTTTATCCGCTTTCTTATCAAAATACGTATTTATATTCAAACGGTCACATTATGCAGTCACAGTTTAGAAATTGGAGAACTAAGATCGCCTGGAGAGAACACATCATTCACTTTGAACCCACCAGAGAAATTTGCATGCTAATGGAAAAACGCTACTCCCGCAAGACCCTTTCGCAAATTACGACTGGATTTAAACAACTCTCCCTGTTTTTGTTCGGACAGAATTAAATGCTTTTTTAATCACATTAATTCGACACTCGACTATTAAGTAATTAAGCGCAAAGACGATACAAAGAACCTAGGTTCAACCGCATTTGAGTATGTCACGAGATTATAAATACCGGTGGTCGCCCTATGGTCGACCATAATTAATTATACAAAATAGTGTCTAGAATGTTTTTTTAGTTGAATTAATGTATTTTTTATGCATATTAAAAAAAAATATTAGCATTCTGCACTCCTTCTCTATATAAAGTATAAGTGTGGGGAAATTTCATACTCCTCCGTCCGCGCAAGTTTCGTAAAAAGGGTTCGAAAGTTTTTGCTTGACGTTTTGTGATTTATACACAAGAGAATAGACTATATATACATATGTAGTGAAAAAAAGTCAAAGCCATTTATTCATCGACATAATAAACTCACATATTTTCATCTATCGATAGTCATATTTTTTTTAAATCTACCACCGTTTCGTAATGAGGTTCCACTAGCAGAGAAGAAACAGGTGAAAGAAACTCCGTAGGTATCCTCTTTTTTGTAATTCATTTTTTTTTTCTTAAAAAATAAAATATTATAAAACTGTTTTTTTTTCCTTTTAGAATCATTCCCAGGGGTTATTGACATTAATGTATTCATTTGTATTATAATAACCCTTTTTATAAAGATTTTCTTTAATAAATTTAAACCTGTTAATAGGCAGGTTTTGCGCATTTACTGGGATTTTGTTGTAAAGGCGTATTATACACCGCCCCATGAACGAGTTACTTACTCTATGGAGTCTAGTAACTGGGGTTACAAGCTTGTGTTTGTTCCAATATATATCTTATATCCAAAGATGATAATCCATAGTTTTACTGAATACCGGCTATTTCTCGAGTATCCCATCAATTCAACATAAACTCAGCGTTGTTATTGACAAACGTATCAGCAGTAAAGTCTGCCATCCTTTTACAAGCAGACTGTGCCACTGGTGAATTCATCACCGCATTGTAAAATTGTTCGAATGCGAGGAGTGTACACAATAAAAGCAGTTTTAGTTGGGGACATGCCTATGGTAGCTGAATGTTCAAATGATGGAAGCAGATTGATTGCTTGGGGGAATTAAGGCGTGCTATAAAAATGGATCGTAGAACTGATAACCGCTGGGGAAGAAAGGTTCTCTAGTGACGGCCTCGAACTGGCATTGCAGTGTGGGACGACACTAGACCCACTAGATGGAGTGACGACTTGGGGAAGGCCTATGTTCAGCAGTGAACTCAAACAGGCTGAAATCATTATTAATAACAGCAGATAGCCCCGAAATGTCTTCCGTCTTCACACCTTCGATTCTCTCATAATCAGCTCTTGGACATTGCCGTACGATAACACCAATCAGTCTCGATACGGTTGTCAACGTTGCAAGCCCATGGCGCGCCATCATTTCCACCGTGCGGCGGAACTGAAAGCCGAGGAGGTTGGGTAAGTGTTCCCCCCGAGTCACATGACCGTGGCGGGGGCGTGTCTCCACGTCAGCGTACGTCACGAAGTGTCCGTAACAAACGGAAAGGAAAACTTCATCATTAGGTGATATTCGAAACTTTTCTTTTCGATTTTATGGCGTTTATCTTATTGGTGTCTTTCGTTTTTATCTTGTCAATAATTTTAAAGTAATTATGTGTGTTATTACACACCATTAATGTACTATATAGTAGGTACTGTTGATAAAGAAGGCTGTAGGCTGTAGGTAAAATTTAATCCCAATTGATATATGCAAAAGGGTAATTGAATTTCTTAAATTTTCATACCATCATCATTATCCTCCTGCCCTTATCACAACTAGGTGGGATCGGCACAGCATGTGAATCATGTTGTAAGCGGTTTTGGCTATAATAATGACGGTGGTGTTGCCACGCAGCAGCCTCGGCTGTTGTACGAATGGGCAGGCTCGTCCGGGTAAGTACCACGACCTCGCAGAAGACCGGCGTGAAGTGGAAGTATAATACTTTCGCGTCTCGTCTGGTGACTGAAGAGGTTGGCCGGAACCCAATTTTCAAAAGGTTGTCAACGCATCCGGTAGTCACGTAACATCAGGTGAATCGTCTGCTCGCTTGGCAACTATTCACATAAAAAAAAATACGTACCAATAGTTGTTTAAAATCTGAGAAGAAACGAATGTTGACGCTGAAAATAATGTTGTATCTAATAAAACTTAAAGAAAGATGGTAACGACACGCTGTATATATTAGTTACGTACAGGCCGTTATATCACGACATAGTGTACCGTGGCGTATCTGACAATGGAGAGGCGCAATCAGACCGTACCGCGGTGAGTCACCGGAGGCTGCGTCGGCGCGTGAAATGACACACCGGCGGCAGTGCGGGCACGCATGCCGCTCACGAGTGTGCGTGAGTTTATGTGTGTTTGTGTGTGTCTCTACATAACTACACGTAATTATGTACCGTGATCTAGTTTTAACGCCAGACACTGTATTCGAACCGCTAGAGATGTCGTAACGCGATTGAAACTATCGAGTGTTAGCAATTAAGCCCTAAACAAAACGTGTAACATACGCGCGGTAAAAACAATAAAACTTATGCGCCTGCTATGGATTAAATTATGCAGTTATATACTAAAAAAGAGAGTACATAGAAAACATTATATACAATATTTTGAGCCAATATATCAGTATATACATATTATATTGATCTCTCACCATCTTTTTGTATGTGCAATATAGAAGCGGTATAATTAAAATTAATAGTTTTTTAAAGGCTCCTTATAAATTATGTTAGTTCAAAAATTGTTATTTTTATTCTAAGCAAATATAATTAGAAAATATTACGCCACAATGTACGTTAGCTAGTTAGTTCTATTTCATACCCATAGTTGAAATGTACAAGGCGCTATAAGATTTCTTACATATGCTTACGTAAACATTACCCAGATTAGTAAATTTTTTGTGTGTGTGTGTGTGTGTTTGTTAGGCTGTTCATTTCTGATTTAAAGTCCCACTCCACCACTAGCTTGGGATCTAAATTAATAAATGAAATGAAATCAAACACAAACACGATCGCACCACCGCTGCATAACTTCAGAAGACTGTTAGAATTCGCGGTGTAGATCGGAATAAAATTAATAATATCCAAGCTCCCTAGCTTAGCTCGGGTTCACATTGTCATCAGATCGTGAAACATGTTAGTACATCCCTTTGTCAATGAATGCTACATAGTAATCAAAACATCGGACAAGTAAGTAGGTGTAATGTTCTAGAAAGCAAGAGACACAGCTCACTTATTAGCCGTTTATTTTTAGAATTACTTGCCAGACATATCGTTTAAATATACCCTTACCTACCTTACATCACATAAGTGAGTAACAATCGCATTAAACACGTGATCAAATCTCATTAAAATAACGCACATAAGGTCATTTACGAAATTCACCGATATATATATATATATATATGGTTTATATGTCGAAACTGGCTAGTTAGACACAAAGCTTAAGTACCGACCGACTAATACGAACGCGCAATAAAAACGCCCGCATTAAATAAGTACTCGGTGTAATTGTAGCCGCGCCCATCGGTGGGCTTGGACGTGGGCGTCGGTCGAACAGCCACGAGCCGTGGGCGCCACGAGTTCCGGGCCTTCGTAACTAATATCCAATACAAGAATCATAAGATATCGCTGGCTAACACTGGGTATTGATAATGATATAATTATTTTTAACATCAGAACCGCCCACTGAAACGAAGTTTTTGTAGTATATATGTCTTCATAGTCCGTACTGCCGTAAGCGTCTAGGAATGAGGTGTTAGAAGTCCCTATGCCGTAATAGTCCTCACTATCGACAAAGCCCAGCCTATAGACTGAATTAAACAAAGTTCAATAACATTTCTAGTGTAACGAGCCTGTGCTGGTATTAATGATTATTTTTATAAATTGTAATAGTCGAACAAAAACGAATTTTCTAGATTCCAGGAATGGTAGCAAGGTGGCGCGGATTTGGGGTACTTTTGAAAAAAAAAATGATAACTGTGGTAGGACCATGCGGTAGTTTCTGCTGTTGCACGAATGTGCAAGTCCCTGGAGGTACCACGGTCTCACATAAGACCGTTGCACCGTGAAGTGGAAGTTTTATACTTTCGCGTTTCGTCTGGTGTGCGAGATAATCGGCCGTCTCGTTTTTTTTTTTTATTTGCATCTGGCCAGCACTTGACTGCCATCCCACCTGATGGTAAGTGGCGATGCAGCCCTATATGCGAGTTTATATATTATATCGAGTAGATATACATGGGCGGTGGTAAACACTTAACATAAGTAAATAGTCCAATCGCTTGCCAATGTAAACCTCCAAGAAATGTCATTCAAAATAGATAAAAACGCAATCCATCAAACATATTACATTTATTGAAGATTGTTGGCAGAAATTCGATCCCCACACCGCTGCTCGGTAGCCAGGCATTCCATCTAACGCGTGTCACTTTGCGGCTAAACGAGGCGCGTCGGTTGCGTAAATATCGCAGTAAGTCGAGTGGATAAAGGTTACTACAAAAGGTTGCGTATTCGTTTCATTAA